AGGCATAGAGCAATTCCCTGGGCCAGGGACTGCAGAGCGCATCTGTTCCCCCCGCTGATGGAGATGGGAACCCGGAAAGGAATCTGGGAAGTTGTGAGTTGGTGGGGGAGGAAAAAGGTCTAAGGTTGGGGAACCAAACCTGTCCACGATCTCTCTGAACACCTTTGGATCCAGCTGCCATTCAGAATGGTCCACGGTTGCTCTGCTCAGTGAGTCCGCCTGCTGGTTGGTCACTCCGGATATGTGCTCCGCCCTGATGGAGGCAAGATTCAGTTCCGCCCAGGACCCCAGCAATTTGGCCTCCTGCATGAGAGGCCTGGACCTTGTCCCCCCTTGTCTGTTGACATGGGCCTTGGCTGTAATGCTGTTGGTTAAAATCAGGACATGTTGGCCCTGTACTATATCGCTGAATCTCTTTAGAGCCATATGTATGGCTCTGAGTTCCAGCCAGTTCGTCTTGTTCTTTAGGTCCTGTTGGACCACCGACCTTGAGCCCAGTGCGTGTGGAGGTGTGCCCCCCACCCAAGCACGCTTGCATCTGTGGTAATGGTAATCCTGTCTGGTTCTTTGAATTCTGCTCCCCGTGACAGCGCTGGGGATTCCCACCATCGAAGGGAGTTCAACACTGGTCGTGGAACTCGGACCTTCTGGTGGGATGTGCTGGTGTGAAGTCTCTGAAATGGAAGGAAAGGCCACTGTAATTCTCTGGCCTGGAGATGTGCCCATGGCACAATTTGCATGCAGGACCGTCTTCCCCAGTACCTGTGATAGGGAGGCCAATGTGCCTACTCTGTCCCTTCGGATCCGACATACAAGGGTCTGAATAGAGTTCCGTTGGTCCTGAGATAGGTAGACCGTACAATTGTCCATGTCTATAACAGTGCCCAAATGGAGGAGCCGGGTTGTTGGTACAGTATGACTTTTCTAGAAATTAACAGAAAACCGTGCTCCTGAAAAACCTTGATGGCTAGGGCGAGGTCTGACTGAGCGTTTCGGAATGATGATGACTGAATTAGTATGTCATCTAAATAGCATTGAATTCTGATTGGAACTTGTCTAAGGTGAGCTGCGAACACCGCCAGTACCTTTGTGAATACCCTCAGTGCCGATGAGAGGCCAAATGGTAGGGCTCTGTACTGGTAGTGGCGTTGGGCATAGCTGAATCTGAGGAATTTGCTGTGGTCAGATAAATGGGAATGTGCAAATATGCCGCATTTAGGTCTATTGAGGTACGAGAGTCACCTTGCCTGATGCTGGCCAGGATTGATTGAAGTGATTGCATCTTAAATTTCTTATACCTCAAGTAAGGTTTAGACCTTTCAAGTCTAAGATTGCCCTCCAGCCCCTTGAAGTCTTAGGGATGACGAAGAGGTTTGAGTAAAACCTTCGTCCTTCATGGTCTTGTGGTACTGGTTCAATTGCTTGTATTTGTAATAATGAGCTATGGCCTCTGACATAAGATCAGCCCTGGACCTGCTCGTTGGAATAGGGCAAGAGCGGAATTTGTCAGGTGGTTGAGAACAAATTCTAGTCTCAGACCTTGGGTGACGGTGTCTAACACCACACATCTGCAGTGGTGGCTGCCCAAGTGCTGGAATAAAGGGCCAGCTGGCCTCCTAAGGGAGGTGAGACTGTGAGATCACTTGCCTCGTTTAGAGGAACGGCCCCCCGCGCCTCGAAAGGGCCGCTTGGCCTGGATCTGTGGTCTGCTTCTGTATGCTGAACGATCCTTGAAAGGAATAGAGAGATGCCCAGGCCCAGTCCCAGGATGGAGGTGGTCGAAAGGACTGTCTCCTGTAATTGTTCTGTGACATGAGTTAACCAGAGTTTTACGTTTGTCCTTACCTTCAGTTAAGTATGGTTCTAGTGCCTTACCAAAGAGATGTCCATCTGTGTAAGGTTTAGAGGCCAGACATCACTTGGCCTTGGTGTCTGCTCGCCAATTCCTGGGCCAAGGGAGCCTTCGCGCTGAGAGGTCTGCAGCGATGGTCCGGACAGTATATCTAGCCATATGCCGAGAAGCGTCGGCTAGGAACTGGGATGTAGCCACTAACTCACCCAGATTTTGGTGAGCTCTGAACTGGTCTGGAGGGATCATGTCCTGGAGTTCACATAACCCAAGAACTGAAGCCCTGGCGAAGAAGGCCATGGATGTTGCCGCCTTTGTTGCCCAAGCTGATGCCAGATGGGACCTACGCAATGCGGAGTCAATCATTTTATTCTCCGCCCTAAGTGCCTCATCTATATCCCCTGGATGTTAGCATTGGAAAACAATGAGTTCAATGGTTCATCAGTCTCAGGAATCTCCAATAGGGAGGTCAGGGAAGGGGCAACATTGAAAATGTCTTCTCTATGGTACCAGGACTTGAGAGAGGTGCTAAATTCTCCCATGTTTTTGAACCATATTGAGAAAAAAAGGGGATATGATTCTGAGAGGCTGAGGGCTCGGTATATATGGCATGGGGACCCTTGGATGTTGCAGGTGGGGCCTCCTGCTCTTGAGAGAGGTTTGCAGTTGTGCAGGCCCTGATTAGCAGGGAATTAAAGTGAATGGTCAAAGAGACCGACAGGAGGGGTGGGGTCAGATGAAGTGATACCTTCGTCCTCTGACATAATCAGGCCCGATGGTTCAGCCCCTGTTGATTCTAGATCTGATGAAGGTTCATCCATGATATCTGGAGATTGGGAATGATACATGGATTGTGGGGGTGGCTGTTGGGCATTGGAAGCCATGAATTGAGCCACAGCCTGGGCTATCATGGACTGAAGGTAATCCGGGTTTAGAGTCTGGTTCTCAGGAGGGCAAAGCCCTGCTGCAGTGGGGGTGAATGTGGCCTGAGGGCCCAAATTAAGGGTATCCTGGCTAGTCAAGCCTGTCCCTGGGGCCGCCCTTGTGGCTGATTCTAGTTGGGAAATTCCCCTGGGGAGGAGACCAGGCCCTTGGGGCTGAGGCACAATGTGAGGAAAGGGGTTCAAAAATGGGCCTTCCCGTTGTGCCTGTCTGACCTGGGGAACCTCTGTGGATTAGTGGTTTCCCTGCGTGACTTGGCTCGTTTGGAGTTATTCTTTCCACTTGCCTCAGTAGGATGATTCCTCTTGGCCGGCGATGGTAGATTTTTCTGCCATGATGAATCTGCTTTGGGCTCAACCTCAGCAAAACGACCCCCCCTCAGCGTTATAGCTTACTAAGGGAGCCCAGCAGAGATGATCCGGCCCGGTGAGGGGGGTGGGCCATGGGGGGTTGGTAGGCACTGCGTCCTTCCGGAACGAGCTGGCCCTCCCCAATCCAATCACTCTTGTCCGGTGATAAGGTTGATCAATCTAGAGGCCTCTGTCTCAACTTGTCAGAAAACTGCCTTCTGGAATGATCCTGCAGGCAGTCTGGGCCTCTGTAGGTTCCAAAATGGCGGCCGGGAGGTAATTCAAAATGGCAGCCACAAGCTCTGCGCACCAAAAACGGCCGTTAGAAAGGAGGCCTTGAGGCCGGAAGCCTAAACTGTGATGAGCCCTCGTTCCTGAGAATCGCCTGGGCTCCTAGCGCAGTGGAGGGTGTTAGGATGGTCAGCTGGGAGGCGCTGAGGCTGGCTGAGGCCGATAATGCCTCCAGGCCTCGGAATTAGGTGAGCTGAGAGACGCTGAGGCAGGCCGAGGCCTAGTAAGGCCTCCAGGCTCCGAAAATTGGATCGGTGCCAAAAACTTTCTCCTGCTGCTGGGGCGGTCTGCTGAGGCCGAGGGACCTAGAAAAGGCTCCCTCCAGGCCTGACGAGCCTCGTCGTCGCTTGCGGAGCCCCCCAGTCAATTGGCAAGCTTACCCCTGCCTCTAAGGTCTCCAGGCTCTGGTTAGAAGAACAGAGCCTTTGATGCAGAGGAACGGCCCCTGGTAGGAGATTTCTCTTGCTTCTGGGAATCCAATTTTCAAGCTGATTGTGAAGCTGAAAGTCCCCCCCCCCAAAGGGAGGTTTGTCAGCCTGTCAGCCTGCTAGGCTACAGGTTGGGATGATCACTGGAAAAAAAAATTTCTTTTTTTTTTTTAAATTATCAAATCTATTAATAAAAATGGTTAGCACTAAGCTAAAGGGAATAAAATAAAATAGGAATACACAGTCTTCTGCTCCAGGAGCGAAGAAAAAACGCGTCTTAGAGCAAAGAGACTAAGTCTAAAACTGGGGTGCAGTTGGCACAGAGGGGGCGGTACTAAATTTCAAACTTAGTCTAATTGGGGCAGATAGATTAAGACAACCCATCCGTGGGTTGTCCATCCAATCATGCTGGAGAAGGGATTATTTTCACCAACATCCCATGGATCACCAACCAAATATTTTTTCACATGGCCACCATATATGGTAATCCTCTTTTCAATCTTAGGTATGCTCATTGCCTTGAGTTATTTATAAACATTAATAAAGGCAGGATAAATATCAAATAAATCACTGTTCTTTTCAGCGATAAGCATTCTCTTTGGCCATCTGAGCATGGTAGGAATATTTTTAAAAAATTATCTACCAAACTAGTAGAAATAATTGGATGAGAATGATTAGATGTGCTTCCCATGATGATCCTGGACCTCAGAAGTTCATCTTTGAAGGAATTAAAGCTGTCTCCCTATGAAATTCTATATGGGTGATCAATGCCTTTAGGGTTTGAATTAATTCCCATCCCAGAAGGGATCCTGTTCATCCTAACTTAATCACTTACTGCTACACCAGTGGTTCTCAACCTGTGGGTCGGGACCCCATTTGGGGTCAAACGACCATTTCACGGGGGTCACCAAACAAGGCTATCCGCCATTTTTCCCCCTTTTCTTTGGCCACGCCCCTGGCACCCGGTGATGTATAAGTGGTTGGGGGTCACCACAACATGGGGAACTGTATTATGGGGTCGCGGCATTAGAAAGGTTGAGAACCACTGTGCTACACAATCTTTTCAACAGGAGCAGCACCTAACCCAAACACAAATCAGACTGCATCAGGACCAGAATGCTACCTAGCCTACAAGCAGGTGCAAGCAGAAAAGTGAGTGTATCAGCAAAGTGCATCAGAGAAAAAAACTGTCTGTCTCCAATGTGGTAAGCCCCATACCTTGCGTTATTAGTTGCTTATAGAAGTGCCAAGCTTCAAAACATGACCTTGGGTCACCTATGTCACCTAAAGCACACTCCAGAACAATCACCACCAAAGATAACTGTTTTATCCCCCCCCCCCTAGAAGAGAGCCAAAGAAAAAAGGGTGAAGTTTGACTATTAAATCCTGAAGAGTTCTGAAGATGAATTTTAATGGACTTTGAGGCAATGGTCTTCAAAACAGTCTAATTTTGATATTTAGGCCCTTGCAAATATTGTATTTGGTTTGTTTTACTGTATTGACATTTTTTTTTCTTTCCATTACTTTCTGTTTTCCAGAAAAGCAATGAGTCTGTAAAATTTGTGTCTGTGTTGACGAGCATGTCTATTTACAATTGCCAAGGTATAGAATGTAACAGCCACTTACTGGCGGTAAGTGATTAAATCAGGATGAAGACCTTCTGGGATGGGAATTAATTCATTCCATAATTCCTCCTGTAGAATCTTTTTGTGCTAATAAGGTAAAAAATTCTGTGTTCAAAACATGTTTTATATGTCTGAGCAGTTTTTGGAGGTAGTTCATACTAGTTCTCAGTTGCCTGCTCTCGCGCCCAGCGGTCTCCCATGGGTGTTGAAGAACAGACACGTACACGTGGTTTCCTCGGGATGGGAGCCTCGAACAAAGCCGAAGCATCCCTTTTATTGTGTTATCAGAAGGCGGGTTTATATGCACCTGGTGACCACCTTACACCAACCACATTTGTTATAACACAGCATATTAGCATATTACACGTGCTAACTTTGTTTTGCACACGCTCCTATACAGCTGTTACACACGGCACCAACAAAACACCAAAACACATTCCTTTGCACCGCACGGCACTACCTTGTTTACGCCAATCTTTTTTACTTCCGACTTCCTCATACCTTGGCCTACTGCAGCTGATGACTCAGCCTAACAGGCCAGATAACCCAATAACTCCAACACCTGCAACACATAGACCACCCAGTCTCAATTCTCTAGGGCAAATCCTTTTCATTGTTGAGTCCACTCGCACCAAATACTAGTGGACCCACCAAGCCTGACAATGAGTGGAAACCAAGAGCAATCTGCCTGGCAGCAGTTGTGTGTGGTTGCTATAATGATAATTTGTTGGTTTTTTCCGATCACCAATTGAAAACTGTGCACAAGTAATAGAACGTTTCTGTACATACTCCTTTGTATTTAACAAAAGATGGTATTTGTTGCATGGAAAATATGCCTTTTCATACTTTCCAGCACATGATTCAGGAGGTCCCTGTGTGATTGGGTATTTAACCTCCTTTTACACAATATCAGTTATTCAAAACTATACTCATAAGCCCGGGTGAGTGCATATTAGCAGATATTTCCTGGAGGGTTCTCCACTTGCAGTAGGTGTGATGACCATATAGAGTTTTTAAACATCAGAGATGATTATGGGCTCACTATCTATCTTTATAACTGGCATGCTAGCCTTAGCAGCCTGTATTTACCTTGATATTAGAAAATTGGCTTATTTAGTTATTTCAAAAGTACAAACAAAACTTCAAATGCTATTGTTGTTTTTTAAACCATTCAGTCATGTCCTATTCTTGGCAACTTTATAGGCAAGTAGCCCTCCATGCTACCCTGTCAAGCACAGCTTCTTTCAGTTGTTGGATGTTCAGCTTTGCATTAGTTTTGATGCAAAGCTGAACATCCAACAACTTATCAAGCTAGTGTGTTCTTTGTTTGTCCCTTCTGCTTGTCCCACTAATCACTCACAGCATCATTGACTTTTCCAATGAATTTGCACACATGACATGGCCAAAGTAAATCAGACGTAGTCTTGTGATTTTGGCTTCTAGTGATGTGTCTGGTATGTGTCAAATGCTATAGCTCTCCTGAATGAGGAGCATGAGAAGTTAAGAATAGCAATTTTGCAAAATAGAATGGCCTTTGACTTTATGCTATTCATAATGGCCCATGGCTGTCAGGAATTTCCAGCTGTGTGTTGCTTTAAACTCACTGACTGTTCTGTGCATGTAAAAGGTATGGTAAAGGAGAAATTTTGGCAAAACAAGTTACAGAACAAGTCCCCAGTATTTAATGCAATTGGCTTACCTCATGGTTATTTGGGACAGGTTGGTTGCAAAACTTAGCTTTAGGGTGCCTAACTTTTCTGGAAAGCATTATCCTATTACTCTGCATAGGGCAATGCTTAATAGAAACGTTTAGTCATTGTTTCAAGAAAAGTGAAAGGCTGAATCCTGTTCTCTTGTCATATATGTATGTTGACCTTCTTAAGGTCAAAATGGGAGAGAAGGAAAATCAGTTTCCTCTGTGAGGAAAATCAGTTCCTTTTCCTTGAGAAAAAAAGTGAAATATTTGGGAGTTATATTGATAAACGCAAAGACAAAACTATTTCAAAAAATTGTGTGCTTCTCTGGAATGATATTAAAAAGGATTTATTAAGATGAGTAGAATTTCTGTAATTAAGATGAATGTCTTCCCAAATACGCTTTTTTTTTTGTTTCAGACATTACCAATACTTGCTACTGCTACTCCCTTTAAACAATGGCAGAGGGATATTTCAAATATGGCAAGGGAAAAAAACCCAAGAATTAGATATAAACTATTGCAAGATGTTAAGGAAAGATGTGGAAGGGGGGGGCTTACCAGATTTGAAACTATATTTCGATGCTTCTTGTTTGGTCTGGCTAAAAGAGTGTATGAACCTCCAGAATAAGAGGCTACTTGATTTAGAAGGTCATGAATTATGATTGGATGGACCTGTTACTTGTGGTATGACAAAGTTAAAGTAAATGTTCATTTTAACAATCATCTTGTTAGACATGCCAAGTTTGGGATAAATATAAAATAAGGTTTTTCTATAAAGATGCCTTTTTGGATGTTTTTTTAAAGAAAAGAAATGATGGCAAAGCCAGACTGGTGGACTTATGGTAAAATAATAACTTTTAATTTTGATGATCCAATCCTCAAGTCTAAGGAAGAGTTAGGACATGTCTGCCACTGGTTTACATATTTACAACTGAAAGAAAGATTAATAATAATAATAATAATAATAATAATAATAATAATAATAATAATAATAATAAAGTTGGAAGGGACCTTGGAGGTCATCTAATCCAACCCCCTACTCAGGCAGGAAACCCTATACCATTTCAGACAAATGGCTGTCCAGTCTCTTCTTAAAAACTTCCAGTGTTGGAGCATTCACCGCTTCTGGAGGCAGGTTGTTCTACTGGTTAATTGTTCTAATTGTCAGGAAGTTTCTCCTTAGTTCTAGGCTGCTTCTCTCTTTGGTTTAATCTATTTAAATTAGATAAAAAAGTTATGGATTTGACTCTGTTAAAAATGAATTGGAAATCCTACTGTGTGATAGTGATGAACATATTATTGCTAAGGTCTTCAAAACGTTATTGAATTTGAATTTGGAAAGTGAATACATAAAGCATTGTATGATTCAGTGGGCAAGTAACTTTGGATGCAGTGTAACACTTGAACAATGGGAGAATATGTGGACAAAAGATTAAACATTTACATTAAGTTACAATTTAAAAGAAAAAAATATAAGATGATTTATTGTTGGTATTTAACACCAGATAAGTTATCAAGAATGTATAAATGTTGGAAATACAAATGTAAAGAAGGGGACTTTTTATCATTTATGGTGGACATGTGATAAAGCAAAGAAATACTGGAGTAGGATTCATATTCTAATACAGAAGATTCTCAAAGTGAATATAAAGATAAAACAAGAAATGAAAAAAGACTTGGAAATTTTTTTGAAACTTTGATATTATATATGTTGACCACAACAAGATTACTTTATGCACAAAAATGAAAGGACGCTTTAATCCCCACAATGGATGAATGGTTGCAAAAGCTAATGGAGTTAGCAGAGATAGCTAAATTGACTGCTTTGATAAAAAAAAAAAAAACATACACACACAAACAAGTACATTTGTTTCTACTTGGAATCAGCTTCTAGACTTTGTGCTTGAGGTGGAAAAAAATGAAACTTTGATTTTGGGTTTTACTGATTAGATAGATCTATTGTTATAGGAATGGCTAGTTTATGCTGTTATGTAAAAGTAAAAAGTTGATGTTCAATGTTATTTCTTCCTAATCCCACAACCCTTTAATACAGTTCCTCATGTTTTGGTGACCCCCAACCATAAAATTATTTTCGTTGCTACTTCATAACTGTAATTTTGCTACTGTTATGAATCGTAATGTAAATATCTGATATGCAGGGTGTATTTTCATTGTTACAAATTGAACATAATTAAAGCATAGTGATTAATCACAAAAACAATATAGCAATGCTCGCTGGAGAAGCTTACTCTTCCTTGCTCAAAAATGTTGGGAGGGAGGGAAGGGGAAGGAAGGAAGGAAGATTGAAGGGGAAAGGAAGGAGATGGAAGAAGGAAGGAGATTGAAGGGGAAGGAAGGAAGGAAGGAAGGAAGGAAGGAAGGAAGGAAGGAAGGAAGGAAGGAAGGAAGGAGAAAGAGATTGAAGGGGAAGGGATGGAGATGGAAGGAAGGAAGGAAAAGGAAGGAAGGAAGATTGAAGGGGAAAGGAAGGAGATGGAGAAGGAAGGAGATTGAAGGGGGAAGGAAGGAAGGAAGGAAGGAAGGAAGGAAGGAAGGAAGGAAGGAAGGAAGGAAGGAAGGAGAGATTGAAGGGGAAGGGATGGAGATGGAAGGAAGGAAGGAAGATTGAAGGGGAAAGGAAGGAGATGGAGAAGGAAGGAGATTGAAGGGGGAAGGAAGGAAGGAAAGAGAGATTGAAGGGAAAGGAAGGAGATGGAGAAGGAAGGAGATTGAAGAAGAAAGGAAGGAAGGAGAGATTGAAGGGGAAGGGAAGGAGATGGAAGGAAGGAAGGAAGGAAGGAAGGAAGGAAGGAAGGAAGGAAGGAAGGAAGGAAGGAAGGAAGGAAGGAAGGAAGGATCTTTGGAGAGTCATGTTTTCCCAGATGGTGATGAACTGCAACTCCCAGCATTCCCCACTCTTCCACAGTGCTTTTTAGGGCTGCTGGGGATGGTAGTCCAGTAAGGTCTGGAGACACACACAGATGCCCTAGCAGGGAAAATTGGCCAGGTAATTGCTGCGGCTTTACTTGGAGGCATTCTGCAGCTCCTGAAAATCACTTTAACAAATTTTCCCTGGTTCATCAAAGGCAACAAGTAATAAAACAAGCAACAGGTACCAGTAATAAAATAGCCCAAATTGTCCTTTCCAGTGCAGATAAAAAGAACCTGGGAAAGGGAAATTGTGTCTTCCTCTTTGATCAATGGGAGGAGAAGCGGTAGGAAAAGCGCGGCATTTTGGCCTGGGCACACAGCCTTGCCCGCAGGCGCTGCCAAGGATGCACAAACAGCTCCGCATAATTGCCCGGGGAGA